GTATTACAAAAGATGAATAAAAGGTTTGTAAAAACAAAGATCATTTGCACTTATAGGTATTAGTACTATGGAAAACAAAAACAAAACCTTTTCATCAGGAAATACATGCTTGACTCTTATTTATTCAACTAAATTTCCAGTTCAATCAACTGGTTGTCAATCAGTTCAATTTAAATCCAATTATATTTAATAAATTGTATTCCACCTGTCTCTTCAGGTCTCTTCTTTCCCGATGCATCCTTTGACCATCTTGCTTTTCCCCTCCCTGCTGCCCTCTTGCTGTGTTTACTCCCAATCCATCTCTGTGTTAAGTCTCAATCCAGGAGTCACCTCACCTTTTCACTTGCACGGCTTTGGTACCTATGGTATAACAATCAGAGAAAGAGCTTGTGTCTGCCCACAGAGAACTTATTAAAATAATATAACTTACTTGTTCTAATGCTTTTCTTTCTGGTGTGTATATTCATTAGGCCTTGGCCATCCTGTCGCATATAGAGACTGCTATCAAATCAGAAACAGAAAATCAGCTTCTGCATCTTTTGTCCCTTCCCAGATGATCTTCAACATACCGTGCAAAGCCAGTAACAGTCCTCTTGGTCATTAAGCCTCACACTTCAAGACTTTTGAATGTGTAAAACGCTTTGCTTAAATGTGTGGTATTTGCTGCCATTAGACAGCTGTACTTTTGACCTTTTATTCCATTATTTCCATCTTATCAATCATCATTGCTTCAATATTAGGAATTGATACCCAAAGTCTTATCTCAAGAGTATGTGGCAGAGGAAAAATTAAACATTCAGAAAGATTCCCCATGAAGAAACAAATTAGCTTTTCATATACAACATTGGATCCCTAGGTTTTTGACAGGTTACTGGATTCTGTTTCTCAGACCTGTGTTTCCCAAAAGCAACACAAAACTATTTCCCTCACCTGAGCCCGTTGCTTTGGAAACAGAGAGAAACCAGAGCTCTCCAGGCAAGAATTAAGCAGGACCGTCTTCCACTTTCCCACAAAGGAATAACCTTTTCTGACTTCAGAAATGAGGCATGTTTTACACATGTATGCATTCTTGTTGGTTAATTTCTCAAGTTGTTGATAGATATGTATTAAATTACAAAAGTTGAAGGTTCCAGTCTTGGTTAGCAGTAGCTACTTCCGGAGAATGTTGCTTGCCTCCCTGATTGTGAACTGCAGTTGTTTACTCCTGGGCCTCCCGTGAACACTCTCCTCATTTGTATGAAGCGTATATTCCATTCAGGCTCAAAGGCTTCTGCAGTCACCTTCCCAATTTGCAAAACTGGTTCACCTACAACTTTAGGGTCTAAAGAGGGAAAATGGCTTGCACTGCTCCCAGGAAGAGAAGATGAATAGAGGTAGAATGAGTCCTTGAGTGACAATAATGACAACCACACCAGCATTTATTGGGAACTTACTGTATATCAAGCATTAATAGCATATCTTTCCATTTTATTTTGATACATGTTCTTTCTATATGTTACTGCCCTGTAGAATGATGAAAAGATTGAACTTCAGAGGGGTTAAGGAAGTCAATTGGTTGAGTCATTTATCATTTCTGGATCTTCAGGCTTGGTTAAGGCTCTCTGTTGGGTATTGAAGTAAAGCCCCTGCCCCAGCTCCCTTCTCCCATCATCCCTTGTCCATTTGAAGATGTAGAGTAGATCGAGGGAAATTTGATAAGGTAGAATCTTTATTTAGTGAGCTATTCCTGACTATAATGCTCAAGCAAAACACAGCAAAGTCTTTGTAACTTACCCAAATTTTTGTGAAATGCCTGATTTTAAGAACTTTTCCAAAGAATTATGGTTTCAAGTACAAGCAATAATACTGCTCACATAAGGAGAATGGCAAGCCCAGATTGTATGCCCTATTATAAAAACCTCATTAGTACCTGACAATGTTCATTTGTAATGGGCTTATCTCACATGTGCATGCTAACTGTGGCTGAAAATGATTTATCTTTTCAAGCAAGAAGAACATTTTCCCTTCTTGTAGTATATGCTTACGGAAAACAACATGTATTAATTTCAATTATTCAAATTTAGAATAGATGGAACATGTGTCAATGAATTATGCTATTGAATTATAACTACCAGTATTTGTGGAAAACAACATACCACACAGCCGCCCTCTTTTCTTTTGAGAAAGGCCCACCAATCCTGAATTCCATAAAATATTCTGGCCTCAGGAAAGAGAATAGCAGGAAATCGATTTTTTTTTCCTCTTGGGGGAGGGTTAAGATAAGATGTAAGAAAGTGGGTGGGGAGAAGCTCCAAGGTGGGAAGCCACTCATGGCATTTCTCCTGCTCAACTTTCTAAGTTAATATCAACTATGGGGCCAACCAATGATCTTCAACCCAACTTAATTTATAATCTCTTGGGAATTGTGGATTTACTATGTCCTCCCAATCTCATGCATTAGTAAATTTCAGTCTCTGTAAAGGACTCAATGCAGCTGAGCGAACAGCTGTTTATAAGGCATGAACCATGCCACCCTTCATTTTATCACTACCTATTAGCACAGTGGAGGAATACGGGAGCATTTCCAGCCATCTGTGCTCATGTGAATGTCTTATTTACTTTTAGATCATCTCCAGATTTTATAATAGGGGTGGAAAGAACTCTAAATGCAGAGTCAGGACATGTCTTTGAGCAAAGAGAGTTGGAAAGAGTATTTTTGTGAAACACTTTCTGAAGAGCTCACAGAGATTAAAGAGGTCTCCAAGATTTTGGACAGTAGTTTGAAATTTTTTAGTTATTTCTGCGAACAAGGCTGGAGGAAACACAGACTTGTTGGGGATTTGCCAAGCTGGGTTTGGACCTGGCTGCGCTTGCTTGGGTCCTCCAGAAATCCTCCTCCTCTCTGTAAAATCAGGGAATTTAACCACTGTCACTTTATGTCAAGAAAAACTCATGCATTAAAAAAATTCCATTGTTTCACCAAACACATTTTCTTGTAAATTCCAGCTAGAAAGGAAGTAGAGGAACAAATATATTGGTCCAAAGGGAGGCTGATGTGTTTTGGGATGCTGAGTGGAGGCGGCCCTGTGATTTGTGCTGTTGCCTGGAATCCACTCTCTGAATGGATGGTCCACTGTCATTTCCCATATATGTTCCTGGTGGGTATTTCCAGACATGTTGCTGCTGCCACCAGCATCCTTCTTTCAGAGAAGGGTGAATTCTTGTCACCAGGAGGCACAGGACCTCAAGAGAAGCAAAGAAGCCAGGTTACTTGTAACTACTCTCGGAAACAGGAGGTGACCTAGAGAAATTCCGAGGCAGCAGAGAGGAAGGAAAGTGAGTGGACAGAAACTAGAATGTAGATCTCTTCAGTACATATGCTTTGCTTTCAGAGGAAACATGGCCTGTGAATCCATCCCTGTGATGAACAACAAACAGTCTGGCATTTAGGCAAGGCCACTTAGATTAAGAATTGAAAATCATATTTCAGCAGTTTTCTCTGTTTTCATGGTAAGGCTCATTTTCAAAATATCACATTTTATTTCAAACTCATAGTTTCTATGTATTACATGAGGAATTATATTAAACGTAATTAATTATATTTGAGCTTTATTTCCTCCATCATGATTTTAGTAGCCCTAGTCTTAAGGTTTCTGAAACACACAAATCTATGTTTACCAAATGTGAACTTGAGCTTTCAGTCCTGGGTCTCAGTCTGACTGCAGGGGCGTGGTAAGAGCTGCAAATGCTTCCAAGAAAAATGTGCAGCAAGCAGATTAATGTGATAAAAGCAATCTCTAACCCCATTTTCTGTTTGACTATATAAAGAAAATCATATCTACTTTATAAAAAATAAAGCAAGAATAATTTCAGAAAAGTAATAGTTTCATATTACTTTAAGGGAAATTTCCTCTTGGACTAAAGACCCATAATTGTGCAGTTGGTACATTCAATCCTTTCTGCTGTTTTTTACAAATGGAGCTTGAGGAGATACTTTAAATGAAAAACTACATCATATATTTCAAATAGGTCCAGAAAGATATTTGAAGTCATATTTCAACTTATCTTTTAAAGCAAGTGAATAAAAGGAGGGGGATCTGGATATACAAGTATTTCACGAGACCATCTAAATATCAGAATATATATTACCAAGATTACAAATGTTCAGGAAAAAAATATAAGAAACAAATTTGTGGTATGACAGTACTTATTCCATTCATTTTCTAAACTAATAGCCAATATATGTTATTCATGGAATGCTTTAAAATTTTAATTTTTCATTGCTTAATGAAAAATTAAGTAGTTTGGAGTTAAAACACTGTAATCCCTATAACATGCTTCACTAGTCCATATGTTTATATAGTTTTATTATGTTAATTTTTGGCCCTATAATAAGTGGGCTTTTTGAGCCTCTTGGTCAACTGAAAATTATATATAGTGACATACATCTATGTTTATATATACAAATATATGTATAGATGAGATACATAAATACATACATACATGTGTGTTTTTCTTCCTTTTTTAATGGGATCATGAACACTGAAATATGGCTTTCACTCAATAGGGTGGTCTTCCTGGGCCAAGCTTCTTATCTTTGTGTTTCTGCTGACTGACAGCAGTTCATTCACACCGTATTCCATTCTCCTTTGTTTTATGGAAAGAAGAATGGAATATGGTGTGTCAGAGAGAGGGTAAGTATAATACAAATCAATACATCATTCATCAATTAGACCTGATACCAACTCTTCATAAACAAAAAGCCTAATTGGCCTTCCTTGTCACATATTTCCTGTTACCTATGGAGATCTTTCTAAAAATGCTTGCATATACCTCATGTCCTGTCCTGGCCACAATCCAAAAGGCCTGAAGATTAAACAGGAGTGTTATGAGGTTTCTCCAGCAGGAAGTGGTCTGCAGGCTCACTCTGATGAAACTCACTCCTTCTAGCAGTGACCGTTGCTTAGCACCTCTGGAAAGAGAGCACACTCAGAGGCAATACAAAGAAAAATGCCACTAACTTGTCTCTAAATGGTAGTATTTATTTCAATGCTCACATACAATTGAATGAGAGAAACTATTTACATAAAACACAGGTACAAAAAATATAATACAATTTATACCGTACATAATCAGGATTCCCTTGTTTTATTCCCCCACAAATGGCAGCTAGAGATGGTAAGAAGGGGATTGCTAGGAAAGGGTGAGTGCCCACTCGGCAGTACTGAGGACAGATCTTCAAAGTGCTTTTTATAAAGACGAATAGGCTTGAGATACAGAAACTGGCAATGCACCAAGGGCAGAAAGAAAGCAAAACATATTCACTTCTGTAATAACTATTGTTTTTCTTTTAAACATGTTTTGTTTTCCCAAAGCTGAGGCTTGAAGCAGGTGTGAGTTGATTTCCACTGATTGGTTAGGTGACCTCTGAGCACCCCTACTCCAACGTCCACAGTGATCCAATGCAACAGATAATGAGCTTCCAGTTGCCACAATTCGTGTCTTCAGTTGATTTCAGAAAACAATGTATCTGTCAGGTGTCATTAAGCAGCAGTCTGAGATATGGACCTAGACAGCTCTTAGGAAGCGTTTAAAACCAGTGAGCTGATGGACAGGAAAGATAAAAGTCATGACCATTAGAAATTTCTATTGTGCACATGAACAAGAAGGTTTTAAGGAAAAAGGATTGAAACGAAGTGTGGTGTGCCCATGGTCCCCTCAGGAAGTACCCAGCAATCCATAAGCTTTCTAGCAGAGAAACCCAAGATCCATTCTGTCATTCAAACAAAGGGGAAACGTAAAGCTATCTCATTGTTTTAAAAAGCTAAATTATAATTAAGATATATTGTCTTTTAAAATTAAATTTAAGATCAGTAACTGTCTGCAAGCTTACCAAGGGCTGAAACTGGCTTTGGAGAAGGTTCACACACACACAAGGAAACAATCTCAAATAAGTTTATTTTGTGTCACAAAACAGCCAACACCAGATTAACACAGAATGAGGCATTTAACACTGGACAACATCTTTAAAAGTCACATCAAGCGGCATAACAGAAAACTTTTGCTGTGCACTTTTGAAGAATCCAACATTGGACCAAGTTTGTGCATTTTCTTGTAGATGATGTAGAATCTCAGTGGTGAATCTCGGTGCTTGAGTTAAAGGTTTATACTGTGCTTTGTTTCGAAGTGCAGAAGTTCAATTTGCTTTTGGCCAACAGTCATAGTAAAAGGGATAAACAATCAACTTCAGCAGAGATAACACTATTCCTTTTCTTAACCCAAATTAAGAGTGACAACTTCTGTGGACTTGTGAGGCAGTTTTGATATGAACTTAAACATAATCAGGCAATGTCGTAGGTTGTTGTCGCTCCACACCCACTGTACCTACACCAGCTGTCACCAGTCTGTCTGATTTTCCTATATCTATGGATTATCCTGAAGAAAACAGAAACAAAAACCTCTAACTTCAATAGGCATCATGTTGGCATTCTTATTACAGAACAAACACTATGATTTTTTTTTGGAAGACGTAAAAATTAAAGTGATGCTAGTTTCTAGAAGGCTGATGCTGAGGTTCCCTCTCTTCTGAGCATGCATTGTACCTACGCTGGTTCTACATCCCCAGTGAGGGCAAAAATCACATCTGAAGATGATGTGCTTCTTGATCATTTTCTATTCCTGAGTTCAAAGAGGCATAGGAGAATAATTTTCTTTAAAGTAAATCCAATCAATCTTCTGCTTCTAATTGAAACCAATAATATCCACATGAAATGATAAATGATCATGTTAAACAAGGCACTAGCAACTTTTTCTAGGAAATTAAACTATCCACACTTACAGAGAGGGCAGAAAATGATGCTCTCATTTTAGCAACATGATAAAATAGTTCTGATTTTTCAGAGTCCAGATTTTGCTCCAAGCTTGTATTTATCTAACATTTGAATCATTTTATTACTGCTATTCATCTAACATTTGGACCATTTGGCATTCAATTTCCAAAAAGCTGAGAAAGAACAGGATCACATTTGAACTACTGGACCCAGATTTTAGAGCACACAAGGAAACAATAGGGTGGGATACGTTTTCTGATTTAACCAGTTACTGCCATTGTTCCAACACAGTAAAACATATTTGCTTGAGCAAGAATTGATACTGACTCTGATTGTGGGGTAATAAGCTTGATTGCCTTTCTATGGAAGATAGGATCTAATATGATCCATCAAAAAGACTGTTCTGAGACAGCTTTCACTAGGAAGTGTACATTTCGTGCCAGGCTCTAAATTTGCTTTTGATAATGCCCTATATCACTTGCAATGTGAACTTTATTCTCAAAAGAGGAGCGGTTTCTCTCTCTCATGCTTCTGTAACATCTACCAAATTTCTGATAATGCAACAGATGACCACTGAATGTATCTCTGGTCTATCTGCTAAAACAATGTATACGATGCATCTTTAATATAAGTCCATAGGAAAGGGGTATGAAAGAGTTGTTTTATAAATCATCACCAAAAGTTCAACACACCAATGGAAAGGTACCTTTTCTATTGCCAAAAGAGAAAAGCATCAAGGATTAAAGCAACATATTTTCCTCTGCTTTTTCAGGTTACCAAAGCAGATAGATAACTTGATTGCCTTGGCTCAGTATTTGCAGAGTTAAAATAAAAATCTTTAAATCGGTCATAATTAATGATCTCAATAGGGGATAACAGCAGAAATAAACTTCACAATGATCCCTTATCTCCAAATATTTTATCTTACACTGGGCATGGCATTCCTTTTGTGCATTTCCAAGGTCAAAGTGAAGATTTCTCTATGTTCTCCGATTTCACCCACTGCCCAAAGAAGTAACGTGCTCAAATAGTGTCTAGTGTCTGATAAGATAAGCATAGGTAATTGTAGATAACCACAGATAATCCGATATTGGCAACATGCTTCCCTGAGTGCACCAGGAGGCGATGAAAGTCAGGATGAACGAACGCACTAGGGATGGCCGACACCATCTGTAAACTCCAGTTTGTACTGTGAGTGGTGAAGGCTTCACATGTGTGTTAAGGTTATAATGCCTTCATAGAAATTGACTACTAGAGCTGTGGGACTTAGGCACAGCACTGTCACGTGGCAAATGGTGATGCAGTTTATTGTACCAACTATTGGTACCTGTTGCCTCTGGTTCTGTGTCCCAGGGCCATCTCTTGAGATTGAAATGCTGAGGTCAATGGAGTTACTGCCAGTGCCACACACAAGAAAACCCCGTTGAAGTGTAAAGGACACCCGGAACCTAAAGAAAGCTGTTGGCCCAGGGACAAAGTTGATGAAGAAGTATCCTGACCCTGATGGCATTGGGGAAATATTTATGATTTATTCCAAAAGCCAAGGAACATTGTAAAGAAATAAATATTCATTTGTTTCTTTACAAATTCAAAATGCTAACAAGGCTGTGTTTAGACAAAATGATTAGCTGAGTATAGACTTGATAGATGTTTAAGGTAAAATTCCTTTGATATTCAACTATATACTCATGTATCCCATTAGAAGGCCATTTGGAGACTCCCTGCTGGGACTTTGTTCTTTTTTTTTTTTTTTTTTTGGATACAAGGTCTCTTTCTGTCACACAGGCTGGAGTGCTGTGGTGTGATCTCAGCTCACTGCAGCCTCAACCTCCAGGGCTCAAGTGATCCTCCCACCTTAGCCTCCCAAGAAACTGGGACCACAGGCATGCACCACCGTGGCTGGCTAAATTTTGTATATTTTGTAGAGATGGGGTTTTGCCATGTTGCCTAGGCTGGTCTCAAATTCCTGAACTCAGGCGATCTGCCCATTTTGGCCTCCCAAAGTACTGGGATTGTAGGCATGAGCCACTGCTCCTAGCCTCTGTCTGTGACTTTGACAGCACGATGCACTAATTCCACCAGAGACTGCAGTGTGAACATTCAGTAAAATAAGCTTTGACTTCCACAACTTCCATCCTTCTGCAGATAAATAGGGAAGTAAGGACACTCTTGGCTAAAACTCTTGCACTCCAGGCAGTTGATCGAGGCAGAATCCAAGGGTCAGACCCATGGACCTGTGAAGTGGGCCTCACCATTTCCAGGACCTGTCCATAGCACTCACTGGGGTGACCAGGTCCTGCCCTTCACGTCACCTACTTATCTGACTGTTTCCTCCATTTGCTTTTTGCTCTTTGGCATCACCTGCGAGCCAGTGGTGCCAGACCCCTGGTTCATCCCAGACCACAAGAACCTGAACAAAGTCCCCCTATGGACAAAGGTTTCTCCCTGGCAGGGATGGCCTCACATCCATTCACTGTTTATAATCTCCTTTCAATTCCTTTAGAACCTCGGCCCCACACACATTTATTAAAAGTTCTTTTTTTTTTCTCCAATATGAATGCTAATTCTAGTGAGAATCTACTTGAACAGGCTTAGGAGAACATCCCTACAAACACGAAGAAGTTGAGATGCCTCATGTAAGTTACAAATGGAAGCAGCACAGAAATGAAATATGCTCAGAGTCGAATGAGGAGTTCTGGAGGGAACGGCATGAGCCTGGAGACTGCAGCTCTTCTCTGCGGTGGAGCCTGACCCAGCGCCCCTGGAGTTCCTTTGAATTCACTGAGTCCACATCATTCAGAGATGACAAAACCCCAGTTTCACCAAGGCCACATGACCCTGGAGCTATGGGGAAGGCCACATGCTGTGTGGCGGGCAGGAATTCTGTCCTTCTCCTTCCTGTAAAATGTCATTGTACTGTAAAATCACTACTAGATGGTGATGAGAGTCTAGCCTCAAGAAAGCACCCTGAATAGTCCTGGGGATCACTTTCAAAGAATTTAAACACAAGACTAAAGCCAGCTTCCTCATGAAAATCAGCCAATCTTCAAGTGTATTCAGAAATAACTTGAGATTTAAATAGTGATTAATGTCATTTTACATCAGGTTCAGACAAATGTAGCTTAAAACTATTTGTCGCTTTTTGTTCCACTTGTACCAAAAAAAGAAAAAGGAAGAAAGGAAGAATTAAATAAGAAAGGAAAGAAGAAAAGAAGGCAGGAAGGTAGGAAGGAAGAACCAAAGGAGGGAATGAAGAACGAAAACAAAGATAAAGAGAGAATGAAAAAGGTCATTGAGGAATTTAAAATGTGAACCACAAAATGTCAGCAGGACTCCCAAACAGCCCAGGCCTAAGGAAGAGCTGCTTTAAGAAGGAGGTGCTGAGAGGTGAGAGATGGCACTGTGAAGGCCCAGAGTGTGAGGGTTCACCCAGCAGGATGGAGTATGGAGACAGAACATGTGAATGGTAGTGACACCGTGATGGACAAACAAAACTAATTCCACAGCGGGTAAAAATACTAAGAGTATACCTGAAATTATCTAAGCACTTGCCATTCTATCAAAAAAGAGAGAGAAAGGAAGAGAGTGAAACAATTTTCCTTTGAATAGTGGGAAACAAAATGGGATTCTTTTGCAGTGCTAATTTCAAAGGTTTAGATCCTTAAGAACACAAAGAGTCTGGGGTGAGGGAAGGTGTTTTCCCAAGTCATTGCAAAAGACTCATTAAAGACCAGCTTAGATGCCATTTAGAAGCCATTTCCCATCAATTCCAGTGAAACATTCCTGAAATATTAGAATCCTCATTCCCAGGGGAAAGAAGTCTCTTTAAGCTTAAAAAAATAATAGAGAAGATTAAGAAATAACTAAAATGTGCTATGTGCTGCAAAGTTAAAATGTTTTTTTCCTATAAGAAAGTGATGAGATGAGTTGAAATATCCGATGAAAATCCAACCTAGGAACAATGAGGGAACCATCTGGCTAAATTTCCCCTGCTGAGTATGGACTTTGAGCATGTGCACATGGACAGAATACTCTTACATATAAGGAATGCGTGAGAGGCAGCAGGAAGTCCCCATTGGAAAGACCCTGAATGTCATTCATTTGCAGTCCAGAAGAACTTACAGAGCCCACCTGCCATTTTAATACTGTGTCATTTCTGTAAATTTGGGTATATGAGAATATTCGGAACCCAACACTATTCATTATTAAACATAGAATTCTTCTAACACTTTCTGAAATTGTTTCTTTAAATTGGAAACAAGGGTAAGGGTAAAAGCACATATGCTAATAAAATTCTATGTTCCTCAATACCCTTACTATATTTTTTTTTCACAGATCTGAAGGTTCATTTATCAGTGAGAGCATGTTTCCATGCCTACCCAGCACTTTCTCACATGCTCAGAGGCATCAGGTGAACATTTTCAACTGTGTTCTTATTTTCAATAATTATTCAATTAATTGCCATATGTTACATATCAATTGTTTGCGAGCAACGTGTATACATTTTTTTCTGGGGGCCTCTGTGAATGGTGTTATCACACTTTTAAATGCTTATCTAAGATCAGTGATGAGACCACTGGGTTCACAAAAACCCCTACTTCCAGCTATCCTGACTTCCCAAGATGCATCTTGAAATGCTGTTGCCTCCATGCAGGAAGAAGCGAGGGTGGATGGACTGGGTGGGTGGGAAGGCAGCACTGAAATAAAAGAAAAGGCACCAGAGCTGAGCATATCCTTCTCCCCTGGCCTGCAGGCAGGAATTAACAGCAGAAACCGGGGGTAGCACTTCACATGGACCCGGTGGACTCCAGAAAGCCAGCTTTACATGGGATTAATGCTCTTGATAGGGGTTGTTTGCCACACATTGGTTATATCAGGGAGATGAAAAATAAAACGTTATCATTAATATCAGTTCTTTCAATATTTTCTATAACATAAAAAAGTTGCTTTTAGTTATAATTTAGTACTTTCAATACTTTCGCTAATTGACATTATAAATGCACAAGTTTTTTTTTTTTTTTTCAGGGAGAGAGGAGGTGTGGAGTCTATCCAAATGCTAAGGAAGTGGTTGGTTATTTTACAGACTGGCTCTTCAGGACGTCACTATGGACCAGACAAGTGGGCTTCCAGGCCAACCGAATGGCAAGGAGCTCCCAGAAATGCCATGAAATCCAAAAGTCTGAATAAGGCGAGTTTTGCAGCAGCCTGCAGAATATGCCCATGCTTCATTGTGCCTGCACCTCTGCTCTACTCCCTCTACCAGCAGAGGCACAGAAACTGCAACAGGAATGAGGTGGGGTACCTCACAGTCTACTGTAACCTCTGCAGGTGTGGGCCAGGTGGAATTCCTGGGCTTCCCTGGGCAAGATGAAAACACACAAGTTGGTTTTGAGAATCTAATAGCTTTATCCAGATTTGGAAGATGTGCAATCGGTGGTGAATAATTGTTTGGCTACATTCTTTTTCTTCATTTTATGAAATATTACGGACCTAAGCACTTCTTGCGGAGGGAGCAGGTGTCTCAGAGACAGTGCCTATTTTCTTGAAATAAAACATCATGAAGATTTAAGCTCCAAAGAAAGAAGACATTCACATTTCTAAAGACTCCTTCCCATGGGGGTGGCACATTTATAAAATAAAGCTCAAAAAACAAACCAATGGACTTCCCAGAGAAACGGGCTGAACACAATTAAAAACTTCACGCCCTGGCTCATTCAACAATGGTCAAGATTTTCAGGATGCCATATTTCGATTTTTGTTGCTTTTAAAGACGTGTATTTTTGGCAGCAATGGGACACTCTGGCGGCTTGAAATGTATCCAAACTTCAACTCTGAAGCCTCAGAAACAGGGGAGGTCATGGGGCACAGGCCTTGAGAACTGGGGATTTACAAGAAGCCAAAAACATTAAGCGCTATTAATAATCATCATAATTATTGAGATCTGTAAAGTAGGCGTTGGAGTAGGTCTTCCCAGTGAGATGTGGGTTGAAGTATTTGTTTCTTTCCTCTAGGATCAAGTTGTTTTTGTTAAATGCCTGGAAAATATATGAGAAAAAAACAACCAAGTTTAAGAATGCTAAGTAGCATTTCAGAAAGGATATAATGAGGATGACTATGATGCTGAATTTGTGCTCTCTGCTAAGTTTCCATTATTTTAAAATATGTTTTTTCGATCATGTGCTTCCCCAGATGATTTGCCTCATGGAGGCCTTGCCTAATTATCAGAATAAGGTTGGCAGTTTGTGATATCTTCTGGTTTATTTTTCAACTTTAGTTACGAAGTTTCCAATAGAAGCAGGGGTTTAGAAAACCTAAATCTAAATCTCTAGAAAACTTAAAACGCTGATGATTTCTGATTAACAGACATTTTGAATGTAACTGAATATATATAACTGAATTCATATTCATATAACTGAATAAATATGTAAGTAGCTTTCAGATGTCCATGGGTGGGTGTATTTGTCAGAGAGACCTTGGCAGAACTTATTTAAGTAAGGGCATCAGGTTTCAAATGCCTTAATTTCTTTTCATCCTGAACTTGTTAGAAGGTGATCAGTGTAGCCGTTTTCTCTTAATAGTTATTAAAGTCACCTGCAGTTTCAAACAGCCCAAAATGAGTCCATAGGCGATAAATATTGAGAGGACTAAAATGAAGATGAAGAAGAGTGCACAAGGCCATCTGTCCAGGATTAGTCTGGGCAAAGTATCAGAAAAGAAAGTTCTGGAAGGATTCATTAAAGACTGGGCAGCTGTCCATGCCTTCAAGGCCCTTTGCCTTCATGGCAGAAACATTTCTGATTATCTTAAAAGTGGCTGTTGAATCTTAAGTGGGAACACGAGGCTGGGTAAATTACCTTCTGAAGCCTGTAGTAACAGTGGCCAGAAACCAGCTGGTGTGTTGGAATCATGCTCAGAGGAGCTGATTTCTTGAGATCTAAATGTTTGTTTCAAAAGCTCTTGTTCACGGAAAGAGCTTGGGCTCCTCTTCAGGCCTCCTCCTTATTCCAGGAGCTCACTTCTGAGAGGCCAGGAGGGGTGTGTTATTCATTCCTGGTGCTTCATTCCTTAAATCTACCATCTGAGTTGGGGGAGATGCCAATGGCTTGTGGATCATCCAAGGGGAAAAGTCAATTGGTGTGTCTCCATCCAGGTGGTAGAGAATAGAGGCCACATGGCTGAGAGGAGACAAGCATGGACACGTGGCTCCTGGGACGTAAGGTCTCCCAGCCACATGAAGTCACAAAGGCTAAAGATATTCCATATTCTCACATAGGGAGGAAATTCAATTTCAAAGAAAACCACCACAGCAGAGAAAGGGCATCAAAATACTCCCTACAAGTTTTAAGGGAAACCAGATACCTAGCAGGAATATCAAAATTCAGTTAAACTTCGTGCAGGAGAAAGCCCTTTATTCATGTGGGTAATAAGGGAGGTTGGGTGCAAAGGGCCAAAGCCTTGATGTCTTTCCAGCTATTCCCCTCACCTCTGGGGTATACACACAACAAAGCCTCATGTTCTTTAGAACATTTAAACCTCACAACAGCAGTACGGGAGCATGCACTCTATCCATTTTACAGATGAAGAAACTAAGGTTCAAGGAAGAAAGGAACCTGTACTCTGAACCATAATGCAAAGTGCCTCAAGTAAAAACCACGTTTATTTTGCTAGGCGCTGTTCAAAGCATTTTAGGTAAATTACCCTATTTATTCTCATTTTTTCCAGTTAATAGAGGAGAAAATGGTGGCTGATTGAATAAGAAGAACTAGCATAGGTTTACCCAGCTGGACATGGTGCTGACCTGTGAGCAAGGTTTATGAGGTTCTAGGCTGAAACCCACCCCCTTCCTCCTCAGAATGTGAAGGGAACTGGCCATTTACTCTAAACTTCTGGGTCGAATCCTGGGTTAATCACTCAATGGGGAAATTCAGAACATACATCACCCAACACCAGTACCACACTTTTACAGCAAGCAGAGCTGAAAAGCCTTTACTCTGCTTGAACATGATTTAAAGACAGCTTTTATTATAATAAAGGCAGGGTCCACCTGCCTTCTGTGCACACCTGGCCACCACTGTCACTGCCGACTCCTTACCTTGATGGCCTCCACCGAGTCGTACTTGTCCAGTTTGTTGATGTGGTTGGTTATGCTGGTGTTGAGAGGGGCAGGCGATACAGGGTGGATGACAGTTGCATCGTGGGATTGCTGCTGGTACCGCTGGCAGTAGGTGTAGACGAGCAGGGTGAGGAGGCAGCCGAGGATGGAGCTACTCAGCCCCACGGCAATCATGTGGAACATGTTGAATTCTAGGGGGACAGGAGCAAATTGATGCTACACTTGAAAAGAACACCCTGCCTGGCTACTCAAAGTGCTAGATGAAAAGAGAAAGTCACAATGAAAAGTTTAAGAAATCATCATTCTTCAGTCTTTCCTTGGAAACGTCATGGCCATCAAGGAACTTCCCCACAGTGAGCACAGGATAGTTGAAGTTCCTTCTCTTATGGATGATAGCCAGTCTTTTGGAGTGACCTTAAACTTTAATACACTACCAGAAGCTTTTTTTTTTCATTTGAAGGTTTGCACAACAGCGTTCTTCTGCTTCAACTGCAGCCCAATCCATGGTGGACAGGGTTTCTGCAGAAAAGGTTATTCATGCTCCTCAGTGGGTTGAGCCTCCCTGTGTGCAGCAGGGCTGTGTCCTGACGTCAAGGGAGAAGCAGCTACTCTTCCAATCTACTGCTCACCTGCAAGCCAGACTGCTTTTAGCCCTCTCTCTATTTCATCTGATTTAAAATGTTTCCTGTTCACATAAACTCATATGTTTTTCATTATATTTTTCAAGTATGAATACATACATATTAGAAAGTGCCAAACAGTCAATAGGAAAAATAAATCCTTCTTGCCCAGAGGTAACTATTATAAGCACTTTCTCCTGTGCCCTTTCAGAGATGCTCTGCACACTTACGTGCTCTGCGTGTGTGTGTGGGAGGGGCGTGGGTGTGTAAATACTATCCTGTGTACCACTTTTCTCACTTATGTTCTATTTTGGAGGTCTTGTCAAGAAAATGATTTACTAAAAAGAAATAAGGAATTTGTGTTACGTGAATAAAATATGATCTTTTAAATGGTCATGGAATGACCTTCTTTTACTACTGTCTTCCTGTTTTGTGGCATCTTTTCTGTTTCACTGAGTTATTCTCCTGGAGTTATAAATACATAGCATTCAGAAAATTCTCCTGCATGGACTTACAGCTGTAAAATAGCATTGGCTCGAGTGACACAAGGCACCATAGAAAGGCCTGTGTGATGTCTGAGTAAACAAGAAAGACACAGATATTCCTGTGTTGGTGAAATACACTATCAAAGTTTCAAGCCTTTCAGGAAACGAAGGCAGCATGTGGTCAGCACCACAGAGCTGGGCTCCAGAAGAATCAGGTGAAGCAGAACAGGTGGTTATCTTCCTCTGTGTTGTTGGAAGCAAGTGGCTGCTGCCCATGGGGTACTGGCCGCATGTGCCCTTGCTCAGAGCACATCCTGAGGACACCAGCTTTCCCCCAGTGTGTCCCCTCCATATACCACCAGAGTGAGGGGCAGGGTTGCCAATACCTTTCCCTGACCTGTCAATCCTACACTGAGTGGGACAATTGGAGGTATGTGCTGAGTATCACTGCAATGCTGACAGGCCTGCCTGGCTGCAAAGAAAGGCCTTCAGGGCTACGGTAACAATGAGAAGAGCCTGCAGGTTTGCCCCTGCACCCAGAGCCTAGGTGCATCTTAACCATCCCAGTCTCTTCCCCAGGGATTTTCTGAGCTGCCTCCCCTGTGCTCATGATCTTCACCACCTGGAAGGGACTCCACCCTGCCAATGCTGCTCTACAGGGCTCTGACACTTGGTGTCAAAGGGAGGGACACTGTTCACTGAGTGGTGGCCAGATCTAGGTCTGTGGGGCTCTGTTTGAGTCCTTCCTGAACCTCATGTAACCCTACAGTGGTGGAGAGGCCCCAGGGAAGCTGAACCTATAGTCAGGAGATGCCATCAAGACCTCACGTGTGATACTGGTAGAGGCTAGATACCTCTGTCCCTAAATCCTGAGCTTTTCCCTCTAAGCTGTGCTCCTTGGCTGCTCCAGACACTGTGTTCCAGGAACCCCAGGACTCTGGAGCTGGATCTGCCCCTTCAGGTGCACGGACACTGTGAAGGAAGGCTGCCTTCTCTCTGGCTCACTGTAGGGAAGAACTTACAACACACTCCTGACCACTGAAGTCCCAGTGGATGATGCAGTTCCTAGCACAGGTGCCCAGTGTACTCAGCACTAAGGGCTGGATCATCTGGGACGACAGCACTAGAACATTCCACAAGCATCACCCACTCCCTGACAACCACCTCAAATTCCCACTTCCAGCTGAGTTGGTCAGTGGTTTCAGAATCTGTGGCCTTTCCTGACTCTGTCATGAAGCCTCTAGGGCTGGAGAACTCCCAGCCTGGGACAGGTGGATAAAGCATCCGGGGGGCATTCCACCTGCAAACACTAGGACTTTCACTGTAACACTGAGGCTGTACTTAGATAAGCAAGAGCCGATTTCACAGGAGTTCTTACTTCTCTGTACTTCAGCTGTTAGCGCTCCCCAGGTCAATGCCTTGAACCGATGGAAATACTCCCTGCTCACTGATAGCTCATCTTCCATTATAACATGGGGAAGACGCATGACGGTCTCCATGTGCAGATACTGTGTCATTAGTCAAATGAACCATTCCAGCAGGTGCCTGGGGAAGGCTGGGGCCAGCTGACACCTTTATAATGATTACATCATATTATGTCATTATGTGTTTGTGTCTCATGCAACTAACAATAGTTCTCTAAGATGAAAAATTTCAATGGAAGCACATTTTTCTGCATGGGGAAAATAGTGCCCATTAAATTTCTTCTGAATGTGCTTACTGTGGTTCTTTCCTTTAAATATTATTTTCTGCTCCTGATTTCAGTCAGTAAAGATAGCATACAGACCAACTACCCTGTTGGTTCAATTAGCTAATTTCCTGTATAAAGTGTGATTGATTTTCCAACAAAATGAAAAAAATACAAATGAAGACGCCTATGTTGTCAGAAACATGCTTGCTTGGTAACTGTTTTCAACTATTAGCCCTACAGTAGGATTCATGTAAACTGCCTATGCTATTGCGCCAGTGTCACGCTGCCTGACCTAAAAAAAAATCAGTTCTGAATATCCTAGAGTGGTTCAAGTTCCTGTGATTTAACCAACAGCCTCTCAAGGCTTGGTACAGCCACTAGGCAGCTGGTTCAGACACACAGAAGTAGTATTTTAGAGTGGGGATGGGCTTTACACCATGTTCTCCTGGGTGCTCAAGGCCCTTGAAGATCTTCCGCAGAGTAACTCAGTAGGGCTCAGCAGGAGGAAAGCGAACTGCACACGTCTGACGGCAGGCACTACTGTCTAGCCAGCTCTGCTGAGGCATCCGCTGTTTCAGCCTCAGGCTCTGCGTAGCCTCCCTGAGAATGGGAACACTTATAAACTCTGTTCAACCCTTGATCTACACTGTCTTTGATGGCAGAAGACAGTCCTGGACCCTGTCTGTTGTCCAAGAGTGTTACCTACCCAGGGAGGCTGTGGCTCCAGCATCCTGAACACAATGCTTTTGAATACTTATTATCATGGTTTCCTTCGTAAGGTGCTCTGCGTTCAAAACTCACACTGGAGCTATTGGCTGAATTCTGTGTGTGCACTTGGGCAAGTGACATCACCGGTCTGAGCCTCAAAGTCTCCATTTATAAAATGCAGATTAAATATATGACCACTGTTCCTTTTCTAAAATTCCTCAAATTCCTCAGTGTAAAATCTCAGGAAAGTAATGTTTCATCAGTAATCTGGCAGCAAAATGTCACCGACCTGACCCACTTTTCTGTAGAGCTGACCAGAATTGCTAGGAAGACCCTTAGCATCTTCACTTTTTCAGCATCTCACAGCAGTATTATTAAAGAGATTGGCTGTAGAACAACCCCAGACCCTGTGTGGGTGTCATGTAATATAGAGTACAGACCCCACATACCCTTCTACCATCTAAAAACTGCTGAGTTCCAAAACCCTTCTCTATCTCCAGAGGTGTTACATAAAGAACTGTGGCCCTTGGCACCTACATGAATGCTCCTTGTGAGGACCAGATGGGCTTTGCACCATATTCATGTCTAAACCATGTAAAACAGTATATAGCACACAACTACTGATCTAAAAACATTAGAGGGTACTAATCGGTATGACCATTTTTTTTTGAGACCGAGTTTCACCCTTGTTACCCAGGCTGGAGCGCAATGGTGCGATCTCGGCTCACCGCAACCTCCGCCTCCTGTGTTCAGGCAATTCTCCTGCCTCAGCCTCCTGAGTAGCTGGAATTACAGGCACGCGCCACTATGCCCAGCTAATTTTTTGTATTTTTAGTAGAGACGGGGTTTCACCATGTTGACCAGGATGGTCTTGATCTCTTGACCTCGTGATCCACCTGCCTTGGCCTCCCAAAGTGCTGGGATTACAGGCTTGGGTATGACCATTTTTATGTGAACTGGTTGCATATTCATCTTGTAGTTGGATAGTTGGATTCCGTATTAGTGACAGTCAGTGAACTCACTCTACCGCCTTCACTCAGACACCTGACATTGCCCTTCTGAGGCACTGGAGTCTCTGAGGATATGACTGCTGGTCAGAGGGACTGGGGATGCTGGGTGCCCATCATAAGCTCAATGTCCTTCACAAAACTGACACAGAATGCGTGTTCAGCAAGGATTACTGATTTTTTTTTTTTTTGAGACGGAGTTTCGCTCTTGTTACCCAGGCTGGAGTGCAATGGCGCGATCTCGGCTCTCCGCAACCTCCGCCTCCTGGGTTCAAGCAATTCTCCTGCCTCAGCCTCCTGAGTAGCTGGGATTACAGGCACGCACCACCACGCCCAGCTAATTTTTGTATTTTTAGTAGAGATGGTATTTCACCTTGTTGACCAGGATAGTCTTAATCTCTTGACCTTCAGATCCAACCGCCTCGGCCTCCCAAAGTGCTGGGATTATAGGCATGAGCCACTGCGCCCGGCCTCAGGATTACTGAATTAATGAGTAAACTAGCAGATTGCTGACTGAGTAGACAGAATGTCACAGATAGCTTTTTTTTTTTCTTTTTAAATGAGGGGTCTCATTCTGTTGCCCAGGTTTGAGTGCAGTGGCATGATCTAGGCTCACTGCAACCTCCGCCTCCCAGATTCAAGAGATTCTCCTGCCTCAGCCTCTCTGAAGGCTGGGATTATAGGTGTGTGCCACTGTGCAGGCTAATTTTTATATCATTTGGTAGAGACAGTATTTCACCATGTAGGCCAGGCTGGTCTGGAACTCCTGACCTCAGGTGATCTGCCTGCCTCGGCCTCCCAAAGCGCTGGGCATGAACCACCATGCCCAGCCAGTAAGCTCTTAATCAAAGTACTTAGTAATGGTAGTCAGAAATGATAAGTAAATTCCTGAAACATGCCAATGAAGCTTCAGGTTCCACGAGAACATGTCAGAGGCAATGCCTGTTGGGCTGGGCTCTCTCGGACACCCTGTGGAATGGATTAGGGGAGCAAATGGGAATCTATCATCATCAGCCACATGTGTGGAAGGGAAGGCCTCACTGTAGATATTGGCTTATATTCTGAAAGGCGGACATGGGCTGTTCCTTGGTCATTGGACAAGCCAGCCTCTCTATCCAGGCATGTTCATGGCACAGACAAGTACTTTATGGGTATATGTAAGGCACAGACTGCAAGGTCCAAAGTTATCATGCACTTGAACCAGACAATGTTGTCTTTGACATTCATGCTGGCTGCAGCTGTGAAAAATTCCTCTAGCAAGTACACGGCAAGTATAACCTTATGCCTCATTACAATTTAGTCATTCCAGTGGGTTGGAGATTGGAGGCTAGCTTCCATGGATTTGTACTGTACATATAAACAAATGATTTGAAATGTACTTTACTCATGAAACTCCACAGTGAATATTGAGACCACTGGTTCATAAAGCTGAGCGTCCATCAGAATCACCACAGGGCTAATTAAACCACTGACTGCTGGGCTCCTCCCAGGGAAGTCCTGATTCTGTGGATCAGAGTAGGGCCTGAGGATCTGCATTCCCATCAGGCTCCCAGGCCACCCCCAGGATGTAGGTTTAGGCACCCTACTTTGAGAACTACCCATCTGTATGTCAAATATTGACTACCTTATGCCAAGGTAGCATGCCTGGGATCCATAACTTTTCTCCAGCTTGTCATTCTTGGCCAAGAGGCAGAAACATTATAGAAAACATGCAAGAAGGGAAATGATTAGAATATATCAGTATACCCATTAAAATTACTTAAAAGGAAGAACATACCTCCACACCTTTTCTCTTCTACGCTACTGGATCTTGCCACAGATACTTCTGGAAAAACAAAAGTTGAATCACAACAACATGTAAAAGGTGTTGGGAAGACAGTCCACATTCATGCTTCATGTACGTTTGTCTAATGGTTCTGGATTTTATGTGATGCAAAGTTTCAAAAGCCTGATTAATTGTCAGAAAAACTGTACTTGTTTCTTTGTTTTAACCAGCCTGATATGGATTTGAATAAATCACCTTGACTAAGGACAGGTGGGATCCATTTATCACAGAAAGATAATGGATGGTCCCTTGGGCTGAAAGCAGGGAATGTGCTCATTTTCCTCCAGCCAGGGAGGAACCCCCCGGCTCTGCCCAAGACACAGTGTACTCCTGTGGTATTGCTGCTTCCTAGACTTGTTCCAATAAAGCCAGTGTTGTCACCTTCCCGGCAGAGGGAAGGCCCCTTCACCAGAGCTCATGGACGTCTCTAGAACAAGTGAAGTCCTCTTCAGGAGGATTTTGATGCATGCCACATATGAAACCTACAGAAGGTGCAGGAAGAGGCCACATCTCCTACGTGTTCTAACTCCTGAGGATAAAATACCACTTCAGGAGTCCAGAAACATCATTCTTTCCTGTATTCATTTTATATTAGATAACAAGGAATAAAAATATGTCTCTGGTTAACAAGGACAACAATTACAACCACTCTTACAGTTCTGTAAGGTACGTGATTGAGGTATGGTATACTACTTTTCTCTAAAATATTATCATTTGCATAAAAGAAGAAAAACAAAGAACTGGCTTATAGAATTCAACCCTATTTTCTATTTACCAACAACTACACACTGACTTCACCAGGAAAAGCTGGTAAAATGAGGGCCAACCTCTTCTCCAACAGGAGAATAATGATGCATTTTCTACTTTCCCAAGTATATTAAAGATTGCATAAAGAGAATGGCCCTTTTTCTCTGTGTTCCCGTGCATATACAGGGAGCACTGCCCAACATTTAAGCTAGTATTAGAATAACCAAATAACCAAATCATATTTAATAATAACCAAATAACATTTTCATTTTTTGAGCAGTCTTCTGACTGCATTATAGTCATTAAAATGCAAAAGACACTGTGCCTAAGAAACCTTATAGTCATGAACTGAATTCAAGTTTAAATCTGCATTTCTCTATAGACCTACATTTTAAACACCTTGAAATCACGAGGCTTGATCGAATCACCTCTATTTTGCCAAATAAGCCAAATAAAACACTGATGTATGAATTATTTTCTCTCTCCATGTTGGAGGTGATCTTGTTCTTGTTGAGAAATGCCTCTGCTCTTACCTGGGATGAAGTTAGAGTCGAACACACATGGCCGGCTCTCTGTGGTGTTCCCGGAGCACTGGCTGCCCACGGGGAAGAGGGGGATGCACTGGCGGGAGCGGACTTGGACGCCGGAGGCTTCGCACTCAGACCAGTCCGACCACTCCGACCAGCTCTCTGCAGAGACCAGAAGAGGGGAGACCAGTCAGCTCAATCATCCTGGACTCACTGGCCAGTTACACATGTGATTTCTGGATTCCACAGCATGTTTTTAATGGTTCTGTGCATCAGTAAGATGTGACTGTATCATCTAACAGGTCCAGTATGTAAAATACACACAAGGATGAATAAAAGTGCCTGAGCTGGTATATATGTGATCAGATATCATGTGCTTAAAATAAACTTCCTAAGTCCCACATTATTTTAACGTTGTAAAGTAATTGTATTTAGACATTCAATAAGTGAACCCATGAGACCCAGCCATGTGCAGACCATCAGCAGCAGGGGCACGTAAGTCATCAGTGCAGGTGCCATTTCGCTATGGGTAATCTCCTCAAAGAGCCTCAAATGCTTTCCTGAAACATTCCTGAAAATTCTCCACCTTCCTCTGTGCTCAGGCCAGAGAAATAACTGTGTGCTCATGAGAGTCCCAGGTTGCTAAAAGGGAGTCTGAAGCTATGCAATTACTTACTCCTCTGTTATATAAACAATTCCTCGGAGTCAACTACCAAAGTCAGCCTGGCCTTGAGGTCGAATTCATTTTATCCCATGTTTGCTGTCTCTGAAGAGATAAGGACAGTGCACAAGTCTCAGGTCAAGGCCAAAAGACGTGCATTGAAAGGATACAGAATACTTCACCCTGAAGTGGAAGAATTACTAGGATTTGTGAAATTCACCCCGGCATACAGATGTGTGAAAGAAAGGAATAGCACTTCTCTAAAAGTAAGAGGGTTAAAAAAGTCAACTCTTGTTATTGTTTATAAAATTTTAATCAGGATAAAAAGGTATTTTTCTATGCAGTTTGTTTTTTTCCCCCTTTATAAATAGAAGCACTAACTTCACAGTGGCACAGAAAATTAAAAAATCAAACTTGTGCCTTGCTCCAGGTAAAGAGCACAATGTTTCCTTAGAAATGCATAAAGTGTCAGTTTTTAGAATGACGGTGAGAATCTGGCTTCAAGGCCCTTTTCAATATACATAGACTCTTCTAGAAAGATGCGCAGGAGGAAGTTAAAAAAGTGTGTGTTTCAATGTCAAAGTTAGACCCCGAAGAGTAGCTCATTTTCATTCCAGGTGGTTCCTGCATGTCAGTAAACCAAGCTATTTTTGGGATGATGGTGGCGGTGGAGTCCTGAGTGCCTGCATCAGCCACAGGGAGCCTGGAGCAAGGCGCTCCCACACGCACAGGCCCAAGGATGGCTCTTGTGAGGTGTACCTCATAGCAGTGTTCCCTGCTCCCCACCCTGATTTTAAAAACAAAACCTCAGACTCTGTTACCAGGCGATGGGCTTTAAGAATGCTTTGCTATCACGAGTTTCTGCTGTTTGCTGTGCTCCTCTGCTTACTGATTTGATGTCATGCTTTTTCTTTCCTCTAATTGGACTATCTCTGAATTATAGCCCATTGACCATGGATGAAGCATCCTCCAGGGGACACCATCCCCTTGTTACATTTTAGGAGCCATTCCTGGAACGCAGGTCTGGAAATCTTTGGAAGACATGTGGCTGCACCCAGGCTGGCTTTGAGACAAAAAGTCTGCAGGCTGTTTCCCCACTCAGACCTCCATACCTGGGAGGGCACTACAAATGCCCGCTCGTTCCCATCTTTCCTTGAACTTTCCCCCGCAACACAGCAAGGTGCTGCCTGTGGGTCACTAGTGTTAATTAGCAAAGTCAAGAACAAATTGGGATGTTTCCTAATTAGGGACATTGGGTGTTGTACCATGCCACAGATTCAGAACTAGTGTTTGAAGCCTTTAGCACTCTCCCATTGATAGGCTAAAGGCTTTGAACACGAGTTCTGAATCTATGGCACAGTGAGAACTATTTTATTATAGATGCTATGTTTTAAAGTGGCTTCCAGGGTAATAGCATGCTGCTGACTTGTCCACCCCTTTCAGTACTTACTGTGATGTGGTATCATCAATGACACCATTTATCCGTCAAGGAAAGAGGCCAATTTTGTCCTGAAGCTGTGGAGTTGGCAAGGTGCTGCTTACCTGGGCAGGGCTGCGTGTTGCAGAGCGCTTCTTCCGTGTGCAGCCCCAGGCAGATGTCCCCTCCGTAGGCCGGGGCTGGATTGGAGCATGAGCGGGTCCTCATATAGTGCCCACCGCCGCATGTTGCTGAGCATTTTGTCCAGGGGGACCAGCAAGACCACACGCCATCCACTGGGAAGGAATACAAAGCCACGGCACTTCTGTAATCCAGTCCCAACCAAGCGAAAGGAGTTACTAAATGGAATCTGCACTCGGGGAGGGCTGCAGTGCATCGGCCCTCATCGCAACCAGGCTTCTGGCCACTCGTGGCGCTGCATCTGGAGTCTTCCTCTTGGTGACAGATCCAATTGTATAGATTCCTCCCCACACTTTTTCAGTTTTCTTTATTCATTCTTTCAGAAAATATCTCTAAATTGACAGTATCTAAGTACAAGCATGACAGCGGAGGGCGTGAGGTGTCCTACTAATTCCAGTTCCTGAGAACCACCATGAACCGCCCTGTATGGTTATTGATGTAAAGCCCCAGCCAGGTCTCACCTTTGCCATCGGCACCATCTAACTAGCCAGATGAGACTTAAAGCCAAGGATACGTAGTTCAAGTCACAAGCTCCTTTGCTAATCGGATTATGGTTTACTCCCTGACAGTGGAATAGAGAAAAGCTAACAGGTCCCATGAGGAAGGTAAGTAAAGAATGCTCCATAAATTCAGGCATTAAACGACCAGACGAAGTACAGCCACACAGACTTGCTGTGTTTAAACGACCACAGCAAAGAATCTGAAAATCTGCAGCCGTAAGTCAGGTTAGATATTAAGGGTACAGTTTTACAATATGAACATGAGGCCGAACTGGCTGCTTGAATGACCATTCCCATGACAGCTCATAACCCAGCTCATGTCTCTGCCTGTTCAAGTTAGTCCCTGAATTCTTTAGGCTGGGCTCTTGGTACCTGTAGACTGGCCTGCTGAATGCTGGGTTCTGGTGGCCCACCTGAATCTGGGAGACTTTAGGTCTCAGTCCTTTATTAGCTGACTTTGCTAAAACTAAGACCTCATGTTGGCTTAGGTTTGTGACAAGCTCAAATATGATTTGCTGTTTAGCTAACTCCTGCCTGTGCCTCTCTCTTACTAGCCAGATCTGCCCTGTTATTGCTGAGTCCCAGGGCAAAGCTACAGGACATTGTCATTAGAGCCTCATCAAGAGTTAAGGAAAATCACAACCACAGCCAACTCAATTAAAAAGCTGAGAAGAGACTCACTGTTGCTATACGTAGAGAGAATCCTATTTTAACTTTCTCTGTAGCCTGCACAAAGAAACAGGAGCAACCATGACAGAGAAAGCCAGAATCATTCAGGACATAAAATTGTTTTAGCTAGAATAACTTTGATTGTGTTTTAATATGCCTGCCATGATGGAACACATAGTTATGGTGTAATGTTTCTTTTTATTATTATTATTGCATTTTAGGTTTTGGGGTACATTTGCAGAACATGCAAGATAGTTGCATAGGTACACACACGGCAGTGTGTTTTGCTGCCTTCTTCCCCTTCACCTACATTTGGCATTTCTCCCCAGGCTATCCCTCCCCACCTCCCCCTACGCTGTCCCTCCCCTATTCCCCCCAATAGACCCCAGTGTTTAGTACTCCCTTCCCTGTGTCCATGTGTTCTCGTTTTTCATCGCCCGCCTATAAGTGAGAATATGTGGTATTTCATTTTCTGTTCTTGTGTCAGTGTGCTGAGAATGATGTTCTCCAGTTTCATCCATGTCCCTACAAACGACACGAACTCATCATTTTTTATTGCTGCATAATATTCCATGGTGTATATGTGCCACATTTTCCCAGTCCAGTCTATCATCGATGGGCATTTGGGTTGGTTCCAGGTCTTTGCTATTGTAAACAGTGCTGCAATGAACATTCGTGTGCATGTGTCCTTATAGTAGAACGATTTATAGTCCTTTGGATATATACCCAGTAATTGGATTGCTGGGTCAAATGGAATTTCTATTTCTAAGGCCTTGAGGAATCATCACACTGTCTTCCACAATGGTTGAACTAATTTACACTCCCACCAACAGTGTAAAAGTATTCCTATTTCTCCACATCCTCTCCAGCATCTGTTGTCTCCAGATTTTTTAATGATCGCCATTCTAACTGGCATGAGATGGTATCTCAATGTGGTTTTGATTTGCATCTCTCTAATGACCAGTGATGATGAGCATTTTTTCATATGTTTGTTGGCCTCATGTATATCTTCTTTTGTAAAGTGTCTGTTCATATCCTTTGCCCATTTTTGAATGGGCTTGTTTGTTTTTTTCCTGTAAATCTGTTTGAGTTTTTTGTAAATTCTGGATATCAACCCTTTGTCAGATGGGTAAACTGCAAAAATTTTTTCCCATTCTGTTGGCTGCCGATTCACTCTAGTGACTGTTTCTTTTTGCAAAGGTAAAAAGAAAGCATTTTTTAGAAACCACAGCAAAACCATCATCTTTATGACAATATTCTAATTTGCAAAAAGTAAAAAGGAAACAAAAATATGTGAACCCAATTTAGAAAGAAGGTTGCAATCTAACTGGAGATTCTGTGATTCAACAGTTTATACAAACTTTTGAATTCCAAAAGTATTCCTGAAATTTTGAAAATTCACCAGTATTTTCCCTAAAAGTTATATGGTGCATCAGACAGCTGGAGGAATCGATCAAGTGTTTGGTACTGGCTGCAACATCAGTAATAAAAGAGACAGGCATGTGTCTTCCTAGAACTTTAATGTCTTCAAAAACTCTCTCCCATATCTAGTCACACTGAAAGGAGCTCTAGCTGTCAGTTTTTCCTGTCTGTAACCTAAATCGGAACTTGGCCTCCAGCGGGTACCCTTGCATGCCCCCTACACCAAGGCAAAATAAGTCATCCTGACTTACAGTAATAGCACGTATCTTAGATCTTGGCTATCTAAATGAGCACAAGGCAGCCCAGGGCTCAGAAGGGTCTAATGTGTGCCCTAGATTTTGTCAGGGCCTGATGTACAACCAACCATGTGTTCTGAAGACCCCTGGCCTCTGTATGGTATCATAAACCTGTAGATAAATGGCCGACGAGTATATGAACAGATGGGGGATTGGGGAGGGACAGCATTAGGAGAAATACCTAATGTAGATGACAGGGTGATGGATGCAGCAAACCACCACCATGGCATGTGTACACCGATGTAACAAACCTGCACAATCTGCACATGTACCCCAGAACTTAAAGTATAATAAAAAAATAAAATAAAATAAGAAAATTTAAAAAAAGATGCTCATGAATCAACAGGGAAACGCAAATCAAAACCACAATGATAGATTACCTCTCACCTGCCAGAATGGATATTATCCAAAAAACTAAACATGAGTGTGGGCGAGGATGTGGAGAAACAGGAACCCTTGTACACTGTCAGTGGGAATGGACAATGGTGCAGCTGCCTTGGAAAACAACGTGGAGGGTCACCAAAAAATTAAAAACAGAGGCCGGGCACGGTGGCCCACGCTTGTAATCCCAGCGTTTTGGAAGGCCAAGGCAGGTGGATCACCCGAGGTCAGGAGTCCGAGACTAGCCTGACCAACAGGGTGAAACCCCATCTCTACTAAAAATATCAAAATTAGCCCGGTGTGGTGGTGCACTTCTGTCATCCCAGCCCATTTGCAATTGTCCACTCTGAACCCAACTGGGTTAAAGAAAAGTGAATTCACAGGGGAGAGTTGTTCTAAATGAGGCGGGAATCGCCCTCTAACTGGCTTCCTGGTGACTGTGCAGCTGAGCATTCGCATTTCTAGCACTTCCATCCCTCCCTGCTGGGTTATGCCCTGTCATATGTTTAGGAATTTCCCAGGCAGGGGAAGCACCACTCAGCCCTGACTCACCCACTGCCCAGTGCAAGGTGACATGGGCCACTCTGAATAACTCCACAACACTCTGCAGTATCTTGGGTTTTAAAAAGCAAATGAGGACAGAGTTATTTCAACATATTAAGGTTACGTATATACAGTATTGGCTTGACCACCAAATCAACTAAAATGAGAATAACCAACAGATCATGTTAATAGAGTGTCTCTGAGATAAGCGGTGACCCTTTGTACTTGTACACCAGGACAGCATCCAAGTGTCTGGAGGAATCTCCATGTCCTACCCAGGGGAACAAGGATGGAGTCTGGAGCCCAGGGAGGAAAGGGTGGGTGGGAAAACGTTGACATTCCCATGACGTCTGCCCTTGTTCAGTTTACAGCGTGGACCTGAATCTAGCGAGGCTGCCCACAGGATTCCTCTCAGCCCCCAGAGGAGGACTGGCTTCGCTGGGGCTGTGGGAAAGAATAGTTTAGTGACCTTTCCCAGACTCTCAGCATCAGCTTGGCTAGGAAAGCTGGGTGGGCAGAGGAGGAGTCTCCTGACACTGGAGAAATTCAAGCAGAGACACCCTAGGAGGAGCCATGCAGCTGAAAGAGCAGACGCATTATGGGGAGCCTCAGCTACAAATCTAGAAACTACATTTCCAGTTTTATATATATATTTATTATCTATCCATTCATCCACCCATTATCCACCCATCCAAGCACCCATCCAATGAATGCTCATTTAGTATCTGCTACAAGCCAGTTTCTTGCTATAAAAACTCAGAAAGTTGTCTGTATCTACTAGAAAGACGTTAATATTCTATGCCTTTAAAAATGTACCCAGCTTTGGAATGAGCCTTCCTCCCAGTTTCCCATCTCTGCTTGTCAATTTCACCAACTCCTTTGTGTCCTTCAAGACTCAGCTTAAGGGTAGGCTACCTGCTGTGGCTGCCATAACTTCTCCTTGGTGGAAACCACCAAGGAGCCAGCCCACTGCATCTGGTTGTCATAAACTCAGTAGCCAGTGACCATCCTGGGTTGACACTGTTCCCAGGATTCTTCCCTCTAAAACTGAAGTTCCTTTTGATCTGGATCACAGCACTGCATCTGTGTATACCCTGTAAATAGTTCACAGTGGGTTATTCAAAAATGTTTCCTGAGAAACGGCATGAATGAATGAAGAAAGATCAGTTTACCAACTCTTTGTTTTCTCATTATTAACAAACAGTCCCTGAGAAGTGTTTCCAGAATGTGCCAGGTCCCTACAGGGAGCTGAGGTTGTTGCCATGGGTGAGACCATGCCAGGAATCCCTGTCCTCATGGAGCTTCAGGCAAAAGTCAAGGCAGTCTCCCCAGTCGCAGATCAGCCCTTCGGATGGCCATGATGTGTGGGCTAAAGACGTTCCGGGGAGGGTTCTGGACAGGAGAGCAGGAAGTGGGAAGCTCTGGTGGAAGCGTTTTAGGTGCTAGGGACCCTAAGCTGTGGCAGGAAGAAGGCAGATACAGGGGCTTAAATATTAAAGGGAAAGATGGAGGAGCATTTTGGACATTGTCAGAGCAAAAGCCCTGGGCTGGGGCTCTTTTGGCTCAGTTTCACAACTCTTTGCTTGCTTGGGAATCCAGTAGAATGAAAAGCCAGGTCTCAGGACGAAGACCCAGACAAACAGCTCTGCCAGGCCCACAGGAGAGAAGAGTTTGCGTCTTTAGAGGACTTAATTAGGTAGACTCTTTGTGACAGAAGACACGGGGACCAAGAACTGGCTTGGCAGACCCAGGTCCAGGGCGAGCACCTTTGATACCCATGACCCTGGATGAAGACCTGATGGTACATGTAGGCCACATAGGGGAAGGCTGGGAATCCCATCAGTGGCTGGGAAGGGATTAGCCTCCAGAAGGAGCTGATGGTCACTTCAAAGGCCCCATATATTTCCAGACCACATTAGAAAGGCCGGGTTTTCCATCAGTCACAACACCTAGAGTCCATACCCTTTGAGTAGTTCATAGGAATGTTTTAATTTCTTTTACAATAAGAAAACACACACACACACACACACACACACACACACACACATCAACACAATCTAGCCTAGATGGCATTTCTCTTTCCCCAGTGCATTAGGGAGTGAGAAGCCTCTGCAAACAAATGTGCCCAGGGCCCAGGGAGGTCCCACTGTGGCCCTGCCTGTCAGATCTTTTCATAGACAACTAAAGCCTCATGCTTGCCTGAAAAGAAGGCTGAGAGAAGGATCTCAATATTGCCTGGAAAGATTTAGGATTTTGTTACAGGTGTGCTGGAAAGAAAGGGTTAGGAATTGGGAACCCTTCTGTTATTCTTATTTTTTTCTTTTCTTTTTCTTTCCTTTTTCCACTCTGGGCTAATCTAACAGGTGATGACATCACACAAGACATTTATTTATTTGTTTATTTTTGAGACAAGGTCTCACTCTGTTACCCAGGGTGAAGTGTAGTGGCCTGATCATGACTCATTGCACTCTTGACCTCCTGGACTCCAGCAATCTCCCACGTCAGCCTCTAGAATAACTGGGACTACAGGTGTGTACCACCATACATAAATAATGTTTTTATTTTTGGTAGGGATGAGGTCTGTCTATATTGCCCAGGCTTGAGCTGGTAGGCTCAAGCGATCCTCCCTCTTTGGCCTCACAAAGTGCTGAGATTACCAGCATGAGCAACCACGCATAGCCAGAAAATTTACTAAGAACAGAGATCTCAAACATGAAGCCAGGGAGCTGCGTGAGACCTGGTAAATCAGAAGGCTCTCCAAGGCCCTTGGGTTTTCAGATCTTTCGTAGATTACACAATCCACTTACCTGGGCAGGGCAAGATGTTGCATTCTTGGTATTCCAGGGATGGGCCGAGGCAAGGCATCCCCCCATACTTGGGTTCTGGGTTGTTGCACACACGCTTCCGGTTCCGAATGCCCCTGCTGCAGTCACGGCTGCACTGTGACCACGATGTCCAGGCTGACCAAGCCCCATTGACCGTGTGGGCAGAGTATCTCCCAGCACGCAGGAAATCCCCAGACAGCCCTGCCAAGGAAACAGGTAAAGAGTGATGTGTTTCAAGTTTCAGAGGAACCGCAGTCCATGCTAACTTTTGTTCTGTATCAGCTGCCCGCCTTACTCCTAGAACTACCCTCAAATTCAGTTGAGCTCTTTTTATACTTCAGCAGCCAGAAATCTGCAGGGTGATAACCTCTTATACCTCAAGCTTCTTTCCTGCAGTTACTAGGAAACAAAGATGAAGTTAAGAACTCCATTTGAGAATACAGTAACGTCTTTACACAGGAAATAATAGGTCCTATATAGGTAGTTCATTTACTTTTTGACGAGCTTCTTACAAAGAAAATACAACTTTCTCACTTTCCTTGGGAATTCTACAACCAACTTCCCTGAGACACCACGGAGAGAGCCTGCCCTGGAGGACATCCATCTGCAGGAAGGGGAGCATAATTCAGACATTTTCTAAACCTGTTCTTTCATCTGTTAACCTTTCAAAGGTGAATTCATGCTGGTGAAAGATGCCAAGCCAACTGCTCCTGGATCACAGGCCACAGAAACTCCTATCACCTCCATGGAACTTGTGCCTTAGAATAACACCGTGCTGAATGACTTTGCCAGATACTTCTATGAAGTTCAGAGCTTACTACCTAACAAAATGTGTTTCCCTAGGAGCCAAGAGGGGCAGCAGCAGCAGCAGTCAGGGTGCTGGGGTGAGTGGGGAGCTGCTGCAGCAGGAATCGCAGCCACAGGCTTTGAAGATATACTGTGAGTGACATGTACTCTGGGCACTTTAACTTACGTCATGTAATTAGCCATAGTCAAAATTCATGTTTGTTTTGATGAAAATGTCTACCCACTCACAGTACTAAAAAGTATTCAATAATTTTCTCAAATATAGTCAATGTGACACAAGCTTTAACAACTCTGAAAGTATGCAGTAAAGTTCTGGGGACGTGTGGTCAAAAGACAAATGTGCCAACAACGGTTGGTGTTGTTAAGCAACTGTGTTTACTTAGAAAATCTGTTTTGAAAGGGTGGCAGAGTTGCAGAGAAACTGAATTAGAAGTGTCTTGGTGATGAATCGGCATCCTGTGGCGAATTAATAAAGAACAACCATGCACAAAATCAAGCCTCATTTTATGTGGTGAGAGGGAAATGAGACCAGTCTTGTGTTTTCAAGACATCAATACTAAAATGTGAGTTGGTCATTAGGACACAGGAGGATAAAGCTCCATGGACGCATATGTTTATCGCAGCACTATTTACGATAGCAGAGACTTGAAACCAACCCAAATGCCCATCAATGATAGACTGAATAAAGAAAATGTGGTACATATACACCATGGAATACTATGCATCCATAAAGAAGGATGAGTTCATGTCCTTTGCAGGAACATGGATGAAGCTGGAAACCATCATTCTCAGCAAACTAACACAGTAACAGAAAACCAAACACTGCATGTTCTCACTTATAAGTGGGAGTGGAACAATGAGAACACATGGACACAGGGAGGAGAACATCATACACCAGGCTTGTCGGGGAGTGGTGGGCTATGGGAGGGATAGCATTAGGAGAAATACTTAATGTAGATGATGGGTTGATGGGTGCAGCAAACCACCGTGGCATGTGTATACTATGTAACAAACCTGCACGTTCTGCACATGTATCTCAGAACTTAAAGTATAATTTAAAAAATATATTGAAGTCACATAAAAAATGAAATATTAATGTTAATTGTATATTTTACATAAATCTTGCCATTCATATATTTAAGCAGTCCAATGTTAAGCTTTTTTGAAGGGGAATGATAAAAATCAGGTTAATTTCTCAAACTTCAAATGTTTAACACTTATTAAAAGTACTTTTAAATTCTAAATTTCACATGTTAAATTTCAAACCTCAAATTAAAATAAAACTGTTGTTTAAATGGAAAAAAAGACACGTCCTTAATCTACTTTTGAAGAATATATAGACTCTCTTTTATAAATGTGTATTCACATTTTCCTTGGTGTATATTATTAACATTTTAAACTATTTTTGGCTCTGCTTTTATATGTATCTGAAAACAGCAAGAATAAAATGTGTAAGTTCAGAAAGGAGACTGAAGTTGATGTACAGAGAAGCATCATCATCCATTTCCTATTTGTTTCTTTGATATGGTAAGAAACACAGTTCACAGTCTGTTTTGAAATGAGACAGTAAGTGAATAGAGATAGTATTACCAGATTGAGCAAATAAAATACAGGAAACTGAGTTAAATACCACTTTCAGAAAAAGAATAGCATTTTATGATGAGTATGTCTCAAACATTATGTGGAACACATCCATACTTAACTGGGACAGGTACACTAACGTTTGTAATCCCAACACTTTGGGAGGCCAAGGTTGGCAGATCACTTGAGCCTAAGAGTTCATCCCTAGCCTGGGCAACATGGAGAAACTCCATCTCTGCAAAAAATACAAAAATTAGCTTGATGTGGTGATGCACACGTGTAGTTCCAGCTACTCAGGAGGCTGAGGTAAGAGGATTGATTGAACCCAGGAGGTTGAGCCATGACTGCACTATTGTACTTCAGCCTGGGCAACAGAGTGACATCCTGTCTCAACAAACAAATAAACGAAAACCAAAAAATTGCATGGGTCTTAGTCCTTTAAAAAGTTGTGCAGCATTTACTTATCCTGAAAAGGATTCATGAGATATAAACTTCTGAAACATATCTGAAATTTGTATTTAAATTTTGTACTTTATCTCACCATGCTAGGTGGAGGTCACAAGACCATCCTTCATAAAATGTGCATCTTTAAGTCCTCAGTTATCATATACCTTCTCTTGGTATTTTATCATATACCTTCTCTTCCAAATACAACAAGAGTTTACAAAATTAAAAAGAGTATTATTTTGTTACTCATTTTTCTAGGTGGGTAGTATTTGTTTACGTTATAGGTTTATTCACATAAAACATGATATGAATGACAGTGAGCAGTGGCATGAGGAGAGGAGAGAGTTAATGTCAGTGAGAACAACAGGATGAGGAAGCAGGCTTGTAAAGCAAGTGGCTCCTGCTTCACCTGCTGGGCTTCCAGGCATCCAAGCTGTTCACCAGCTCCCAGGAGAAGTCATGGTGATCTGTGACAGGAAAGCAGCTGGTGGCAGTCACCAGAGCCATGCTGTCTTACAGTCTTCCTCATGGCAACACCAATAGAGATCTACCAAACTCCATGAATTTATCCCACAATAAATTCTGTCCAATATGGCAGCATGCCAGCTCAGTGGCACTTGTCTAGGCTACCCACTCTGGGATAAGTCCCCTTCTGTATAAATGGTGCCTATCCTTTCAGGTTGGGAAAATAAGGTAGAATCACCAGTGCAAAGGTGCTATGGCATATCTAAGAATGGCTGCAAGATATAACAATCACTGCTCTCATCAAACTGAACCAAAGACCCATCTATGAGTATCTATTTCCTTTTCTGTTAGTACCTTTTCCTTTGAAAGAGATTTTGCTCAATTAGAGGAGACTGAAAAACAGAGATGAAGAACAGTGCAAAGAATCAAAGCTCTTAGGGACCAACAGGCTCAACTCCTTTTTCTGCAGTTGAGACAGCTGAGCTCTAGGGAGAGAAGGCGACTTGCCCGAGGTAAGAGGACCACTTGGTGTCAGGCCCAGGCAGAGGCCGGATCTGGTTCCTGTCTCAGGGCTTTCTCCGTGCTACTACTGTGGCATTCAAGGGGTTTACTCAATTGTGAGGAGTAAAGTGATTTCAAAGACTATTCTAGTATCCTCACACACTGTGCTTTTTAAAAACAGAAAATCGTTTTATAGGTACAAAGAGAAATGTACCTCCATTGCCTTTGTGAACTTTAGGGATTAAATAAAGAAAAAACCTTTCTTCAGCTTACATTTTAGTGCCAGAAGATGTATGAAACATCACTGATACATCCCCAGAACATTTTCTGATACTAAATAAATCTCACACAAATGATTCTGGGTCTATAATAAAGTGATTTGGGGACCCGATTTCATAGTATCACTAACTTTTTACAGTAAGGGTCTTTTCTCTCATTTTGTCATAGAGTCAGTTGCGCTCTATGGGGAACACTGTTTTCAAGACTGCTAAGCCATACATAACCAAAAAGAAAAGTGTCCCCTTGCGGTTTATGACCTTAGAGATAAGATCAAAGGCCCTTCCGTGGAAGTGGGTCAGTCCCCGTAAAACCACTACTCACCATCTGTGGAGCAGCCACTGGTGCCGTCACTAGAACAGTACCTCATTTCTATTCTCTGTCTTCCCACTTCCAGCAAATTCGGATCGGGCAGGCGGGCTTTGCACGTGTATCTGAACCGCTGCTCATAGTGGCCGCCATTGTCAGAGATGTTGACGGGCGTCCAGGGAGTCCAGGGCGTGGTCTTCTTCAGCTCAGGACACGGGCTGGTGTTGCAAGGCTGGTACTCCTGGGGAGAACACACAGGCGAGTGTTACCATAGGGGTAAACAAAGCAACGTCACAAAGGGCTCCTTTCCTTTAGGGAAAGGCAAGGGTCTCTAAAGCATCAGCTCCGACACTCACAGCTACTCTACAAAACTAAAAACACATTTATGTTAAATTAGGCATTCAACAGAATGCTCAGTGTTCAAATAATCTCCCAAAGGAATTCATGCTGTTTCTCCGGTGCAAACAATGGGAATGAGACAACAAACTTGATTGTTTGTGGGATAAAAAAACCCAGTGATCCCGTAAAAATCATCTGCCTTTCACTAAATGCGTAGCTGAAAGTATTGATTATTCTGATGTTAAGTTTAGCTATTTTCTTTAAAAGACTGAGTTGTAGCGCTCATAATATTCAGTTTGAGATTAATGGATGTTTGAAGACCTGAGATCACAGATGCCAAGTGTTAGAGTGGTCCGGGGGGCCACGAGATAAAATGATGCAGGAGACATTTTACATATAAGAAGCTTTCCCATCCTCTCCCAGCTAACACCTTCAAGGCCCTTCGTAGCTTCTCCTGAGAGCACACTAAAATGGAAGTTCTGTTCCCTCCCTCCTAGGAACCTCCCTTGTCAGCATAGGTAGGAAGATCCTGGGTAGCTGAGCATGCAGTGGCTTTGGAGGTCTGGCAGGTGGAGATGATGAAAATGTGCCCAGAGCGCTTACTGATTTATTTGACAAGCATCCTACATATGATTACTGCAGACATAGAACGCAGTCAATAGGAGGCATACAGGGATTGACCCTGGATGCAATGTGACACCATTGCTCCATTTTACAGCAGTGGGTTTCACTGGAGGGAAGACCCATACACATAATACACCTGGTGATGGCCACAGGTTTAAAGATTTTTAACATTATATTAATAAAGTAAGAATTAAATCACCTTTTAAGCTTTATTGTAAAATAAGAAAATTGCTCTATCATTTTTCCACCTCTTTCAGTTGCATATTTTGATACTTACCTCCACAGAGCTAAACTTGAGTTTGGGTCCTTTTTGTAAACCATTTGAATCTACGATTTTCCTTTGGTTTTAGAAATATTATTGATTACTTCATCTCATTCGCCCCTTCATTTTCTTGCTGCATCTCTTATCCTTTGGATATACATTTATCTATCCATTTTTATATTTCTCATCTTTTATCTCACAGTTTTCATCTTTTGCCCTAGTTTCTGGAAGATTTCCTCAATCTTATCTTCCAAAATGATGATTGGAATTTTCATCTTATCTATTACATTTTGTGCCTTTTTTTTTTTTTTTTTTTGGTTCTTGATTATTCCCTGATATTGTATGCTATTCTTGTTTTTTTTGGTCACACTATCTTCTCCAATTTGAGTACGTTGAGGACTTGAGTACACTGAGTACATTAATGAATTATTTTAAGGTTGTAGCCTCTCTCTACAGCTTCTCTATCTTCTAAATTGCTGAATTCCCTTTGCTTGTTTGAATCTCTGTCTTTCTTGTTAGATTGTTTCTTCTGAGGTCCGAACCTTCTTTGTTTTCTGCTCTGATTTAGAGTGGAGGGCTAAAAAGTTTAACTGGAAGGTCCGAGCAAAGAGAAGTCTGTAGACCTGGTCAGATCTGGTTGGGATCTTTAGATGAAGTCTGTTGTCAGAATCTTCAACCTTTCCTGCTGGACTCCTCAGAGACCCTTGAGAAGACTGAGCCATGGGGGATATGAGAGCCAAGTGGAGGAAGAGGGTTGAACTCTCAGGGTCCAGTAGACAACCATTATCTTATTCTGCCTTTCTCAGTTCTGAAGCACCCAGTTAAATGAGCCCAAGTGCTCAGAGGTCCAGAGACCCTATCTTTCCCTCTCCAGAAAATAAGCTTCCTGGCATCTGCTAGACAGCAGGTTTAGTCTCCTTGGTGGAGTGGGAGAGGTATGGAGGTCTTAAACAGAAGTCATCCAATGTTATTTTGCCACTAACAGAGAACACGGGGCTGCTGATTCCTGAGCGTTCTGAGGGGTCTCTGGTGTGCATTGAGATGATCATTTTCATGTGTTGGGGGGTGCCCAAGATCACTCCAGTTTCTATGATTAGATAGCAGAATCCATAGGACTCTGTATACAGCAGTGTTCTCAGCTATAATTTATTATAGTAAAAGAATACAAAGCAAAATCAGCAAAGGGAAAACGCACATGGGATAGAAGTCCAGGCAAAGCCAGGCACAACCAAGAGTCCTCTTTCAGCGGAGTCACAAAGGATGTGCTCAGGTTTCCCCAGCAGCTAGTTGTGATGATGTACAGGGAAGGCAGCCTACTGGGAAGCTCACTGGAGATGGTGCTCAGGGTTTTCACTGGGGTCTGGTCGCACAAGCATCTTTGCATTGCATGTACCAAAAGTCCAGATTCCCTAAGGAAGCCTTCAGTATGTGTACAGACAGTTTAAGCACAAGAAGCCACTCTTGCCATCTGGTAATGGTAGAGACCTTCCTGAAATCCACATTCCCAGATGCTAGCCAATAGCTAGCCTTGCAAGCAGGCCTTTCCAAGAATGACAGGGCAGGAAAGACATGGCTACCCACGTCTTCTGCATAGTTCCCCTCTGCTAGACTTGAATTCATGCTTCTTCAATGTGTTTCCAGACTCTACTTTTTATAAACAATATGGTTCTTTCTCTTTTTTTTCTGACTTTGTGCATTTATGCCTTTACAAATCAATCCCTCCAACATTGTACTGATATGCTTCCAGTAGGACAGAAAGCAACTGTGTGTGTCCATGCCACCAACTTTACCTGAAAACCTAACACAATCTTTATTTTATACTATTTTAAATATTCTAACTCATAATGCATTTATTTTTTTTCCCCAGCAGATAATACTCAGGATTTTTGTGACATCATAGGCTTCTAACAGAAAATATGTAAAACGATCATTGCTGTTTCTTTGATTCAGTGCTCTCCAGGCATTCCTCCTGGACCACGCCATCTCCACATCAACAAATACTCGAAAGATAGATGACTTCATTTTCCTGTGCTTACAGCATCTTTTATTATGGCGTCTTTTGAATGCTGCCTCTTAAATGAAAATGCCCCAATGAATGCCATGAACCCAATCATGTGAAGAGCCAGGCACAACACACGTGTGATCTCTTACACTTGGAATGAAAACCACATGACAGCAAAGCAATAAACCATTCTCTTGGCCCTTCTGTGCCTATGGTGTGGGGATGCTTTCACTCCTGCATTGAGAATGCAATAAGCCACTGCCTTTCCCTCCCTGCCTCGGAGCTAGCCTGGGCATGTAAGCATCCTGGAGCTCCTTGGTAAAATGTAGTCAAAACACGTGCAGTTTGGCCATGTGCGGTGGCTCAAGTTTGTCATCCCAGCACTTTGGGAGACCAAGGCAGGTGGATCACCTGAGGTCAGGAGTTTGAGATTAGCCTGGCCAACCCCATTTCTACTAAAAATACAAAAATTAGCCAGGTGTGATGTCAGGTGCCTGTAATCCCAACTACTCTAGAGGCCGAAGCATAAGAATTTCTAGAGCCTGAGAGGCGGAGGTTGCAGTGAGCCAACACTGTACCATTGCACTCCAGCCTGGGTGACAGAGTGAGACTTCATCTCAAACAAACAAGCAAACAAACAAACAAATAACACGTGCTGTTTATGGGCCTCTGTTTGAAAAGTGCTGGTCTTTAGGTCTTAACAAAGGCAGCATTACCTATAAATTAGTAACATCATACATCTTCATAAACAGATTTATAGGCTACTATCAGTAATTCTTAGGTTCCCCACACTGCAAGCTTCATCCCTTCTATGGAGATGAAGCTTAATTTTTGAAATGTACGAGTGGCCAAATGTGTTTGGAAGTTGGCTCTAGTGTCTGCACTGGCATCTGTGTGTCAGTCCCAGAGGCAGGTGCAGCTCATGGCTAAGGAAGATCAGTTCAGTTTCTTTAGATCTAAGCTGCCAAAACAGTCTGTTCTTATGTTCTTATTTCCTCATGGTTCAAAGTTTAACATGAGACTGAGAACTTCTCCTTTCCAGTGCTTTTTGAAGTTTAATTATGATACATTCACTTGAAGTATCAAATTATGAAATGGTGAGAAATGGTATGGCCAATTTGTTTCATCTTAATGAACAAAATCACGAAGTGATTTAATTCTATTGTGATCACTTACATGGCTTAACTGAGTAAGTATGCTACAATTTACTAGAGAATACTATTATAACCATCCAAATGGAAATGGAACTTCAACAACACTGCACTTAATACTAAAGAGATAAATGATTTTAAAAAGGATTTCAGGAAGCTCTCTATTGTGATTTGGCACATAAGGTTCTTAACATTCTGGTGGCAAATGAGATAAGAATGCTTACTAAAGCAATTATAAATAACTTCACCAAATATGTTCCCCATGTATTATGTATTCCAGTCAACTGTGATCAAAGCACCCATTTAAATGTTTAATCCAGAAACCTGAGAGACTCTGCCCATTCTCCCGTATTTCTTCTTTTCCATTTTTACTATACTTTAGGTTCTGGGGTACATGGGAAGAACATGCAGGTTTGTTACATAGGTATATATGTGCCATGGTGGTTTGCTGCACCCATCAAGCCATCATCTACATTAGATATTTCTTCTAATGCTATCTCTCCCCTAGCCCCCCACACCCCTGACAGGCCCCGGAGTGTGATGTTCCCCTCCCTGTGTCCAAGTGTTCTCATTGTTCAACTCTCACTTATAAGTGAGTGTATGTGGTGTTTGGTTTTCTGTTCCTGTGATAGTTTGCTGAGAATGATGGTTTCCAGCTTTATCCATGTCCCTGCAAAGGACATGAACTCATCCTTTTTTATGGCTGCAGGATATTCCATAGTGTCTATGTGCCACATTTTCTTTATCCAATCTATCAGTGATGGGCATTTGGGTTGGTTCCAAGTCTTTGCCATTGTGAATAGTGATGCAGTAAACACACATGTGCATGTGTCTTTATAGAATGATTTATAATCCTTTGGGTA